TTTTAACACAGGGTTTCCTGCAGAGACAGCAGTGAATGATGATTAATACTTATCAATTAAAATCTAATCTTTTTCCCATGTGTATTTATATGCTGAACTTCAACCTACAAGGCAATTCTGTGACAGGAATTAGATATTCTTTTGTTGGAGAGCACTGGTATTATGGTCAGGGATGTATTATTCACTCGTTTATTATGAGCATTGCATTTGTGCCTGGTTTTTGCCTAGGCATTGTATATAAACATAGTCTCTGTGAAAAGGAGTTTATAAACAATTACCATTAAAGGGACAATTATTTTCTCTTTCTTCATGTAGCAGCTCTGAGTAGGAGGTGAGGGATGGAGGAGAGAGGAAGCAAAGGTTGTACATGTTTTATGGCCATAATTATAATTAACTATTTGAGAGATTAAAATTATATTATAATTTTAATTATAATTTACTATTTCAGACATTAAAACTGATTAAAAAAGACTCAAGGTTATGAGGTACCTCACAGACCTGTGAGTTATCTAGCTCAGTCTAAACAGATATAAATATATATACAGATATAAATCTTCCTCTTTGTTTGGTTTTTTTTTTGGTTTTTAACCCAGCCCAGGGAGCAGGCAGTGCCCCCGGGTGCGGTGGGTGCCCCGCAGCCGCCGGCGCTGCCCCGCAGCCGCAGAGCTGCCCGCGGGCCATGGTAACAAAGAGCTCCAATCCCGCAGCCGGAGCGCTCCACTGCCAGAGAGGGAGAGGGAGAGCTGGCGGGAACGATGGGCTCCAAACACGTCGTGTGAGAGCAAAGGAGAGGCAGGAGGGATTTTCATTTCGAACTCTGCTTGGCACGGTTGTTAAACAGCACTCCATTCAGATACACTGCGCGATAACCCTGCTTCACGAGCGAGAGGCAGGGCGGAACAATAACTGAAGGAGGCCACTCACAAACCCTGGTGGAGAGCCTGAAAGTGGGCAGGTGATCAGGCTGGTTAGTTCTGATTTATTACAAAGGCATCTTTATGCTTTTTGAATTCCCTTCCATCACTCACGTTAAACAAAACTGCATTCTTATTAGGCACTTCATCCCCTCCATGCCTGCACACGCTCATCGCTCATGTCACACTACCAGCTAAGCCATATGAAGCAAGTGCAGTTATGTGATGCCTATCACAAAAATCTTTTTTGTTTTATTGTATTGGAAACAAGCACTTCAGTAAAGCTGCTAGGAACTGGTTCAGGTTTACGGTACTGTATCAACATTTTCAGAGACTGATTAAAGGTGTGAGACTTTTTCTGGTTTGCAGCAAAATTGCTTTTCACGACTTGTCCCAGGAGATCTTTGTTTTTAAAAAAATATTTTGCAAATGAATTCTGTAGCAGGGAGAGGTGTGGAATCATGGGAATGAAAGTGCTCGTGGAAGCATCATCTTCCCGTTTTGTAGTTTTTGATGTGACATTCCTTATCACAAGGGAAAGAGGCACTTCTGCAGCTTCCCTACCCCTGAGCCTCCTACCAGCTCAGAGAGGCATCACAAAGCCACTCACTATTCAATCTCCATTTCATTCCTTGTCGTTTATTAACACAACCCTACTGTTGTGAGAGCTCGGCCCATCCCTTTGTAAAAGCCTTCAAAGTGGCTGGAACAACCGGTGAAAAAATGATAAACATTTTCAGCTGAAATTGGTCAGATTATGGATGAGCTGTTTATAAACATCTCGTCTACAACTGTCAAGAGGTGGAGCTGACATCATTGGAAGATGATAAATTCTGACACGGTGCTCTGAGATTTCACTGCCACCGAATGTAGGTTAATATGGGATTCAATAGGAAATCTGCCTTGTGTATTGCTGCATATACAGGAAACGAAGGAACTTGTCATTTGTCTGCAGATTGCTAATTGCAGTTTATTGCACATGCAAAAGGTTAATTTGGGTATGTTATCACAGTAATCACATGCACTGCCTCACATTAAACCATACCCCTACAGTAACTGATGAGCTGGCCTGTGGGATTTGGGACATTATTTTGGCAATAATATTATGGCAAATAAGAATGTTGAGTAAATGCTGTAAGAGTGGGCAGCAGTGTCTTTAAGTGCAAAAGTACAGAATTACAAGTCTCTGGTATGAAATACTTTCCCTTAACCCTTAATTTAATTATTCCCTGAGATGCATGTAATTTATTCTTTGTGATAATTGAAAACAGAAGACTCATCTATTCTAAATGAAAATTATATCCTATTCTTATTATTGTTAATGCTTTGTATTTAGAAGAGTATTTAAAGGGCTGAGATGAATTCATGACCTCTTCATGCTGGGTGCTGTATATATACACACAGTAAGCTCACTGCCCCAAAGACCTTACACTTTAATTAAATAAAGGTTGGAGGAAGGAAGTTTTATTACTTCTGTCACAAATGGGAAATGATAACAGAGAGAAACTAAAAGGACTGAGAATTACACTCCTCCTGCACCGAGTCCTGTATTTGCCTGTAATATATCCTCCCTTCCTGCTTTTGTTAAGTTGCTGTAAATTGCTAGGTGGATGGTTGGTTCTCCCCCAGAGATGGAGTTTAATTCTGTGCATGTTTCAAGGTTTTATGGAACGAAAGGCGTTCTGGAGATAGATAACACTTTAATTTAGACCTGATTAAGTTATTGTGAAGCAATACTTTGGTGGAGGGAGTGGATTTGTACAAATCTGGTGCATGTTTATTGTTGCCATATGAACCTAGTGCTGCATAGCTGCTGTGCTCCCCGGGGGCTGTGCTCTTGGTGCATGGGGGTTTGAAGGTACACCAGTATAACTTTTTAATTGTTATTATTCCCTCTAGTTTGCTCTTAAACATCTTCCAAAATAGTAAAAGAGTAATAGTGCTTGAGATGTTGGAACATTCCACAGGATTCATGGGGCTGTTGGAACACCAGTGCAAGCTTAGTCTCCCAGAAATGCATTTTCCTCTCCCCCTGCTCCCTGGAAGTACTGTGCTCATTCTGAAGTGCATTTTAAGCATTTTTAATTGGAGCTTCCAGCTTAACATTAAAAATAAAGCCAGCTCTGCCTGGAGTCTTGCTTTGTGGAATTTTTCTATAGAGGAACATAAACCTGAACATAACTTGTTTTCCTTTTTCTCCTTGTTCAGTACAGTACAGTGACCTGTTTAAGCAGATGGGATGGGAAGAGGAAAGAAGAAAAAAAATGGGCAATTCAAGTGAAGAAGCAAAACAAAGAACAGGTAAAATTCAAGCACAACCCAACCCTCTCCTCATATCCTTGCATTTCATTACTTATGACTCTCACTGTTGGACTCCAACAACACTAATTCCCTACACTGATGTGTCTTTCCCTCATCTCATCTCATCTCATCTCTGTCCTTTCCTGCCCTGTCTGGTAAATGGTGTTCTCTCTCACAGATTTTAGACTCATTGAACTAAAAAGATTGCAAAGAATCAAACTTTAAAATAATTATTTTATTTAATAACAAAGAGTATTACTTTTTTGTTATAAGTTTTATGGATCCTTGAGCACTTATAAGTGACCTCTTGTTTACCCTATGGAAACAAGCCCTGCTGCCTATGCAAGTAAATCTGTAGAATAAGTAATCTTTTAAATATGAAACCTCAGTTTCCTTAGTTGATGGGACAAGCTGAGCACTTAGGAAAGCACATCACCAGTGAGTACCCTTGCTGGAAAACAATCCACTGGAGCTTTGTTATACAACATTCAAACATCCTGGCGAGGTGACAGTAATTTGCAATAAACACTGCGTGTAAACAATTACCTGTGACTTGTTACACTTGTTTGTACAGGCAGCTGGCTAAACAGATCTGGGTGCACTTGTAAACGTCTGTCCCTGTCACACCTGATACTGGAAAACAATTGCTCGTTATATGATTACTCTGAAAAAACCAGGGGTTTGTACCTGACAGCTGGCAAGGACTGAGTATGGATGCTTACAGACGGAAAAGTGCCAGAGAAATCAAATGTGATGGTGGTGTTTTTATGACAACGGTGAGGGCACTTTCATGTCTAATCCTCCCATCAAGGGAGGTCTTTGTGACAGAGTACTTGACAAAAAAACCCACTTTTGCGGTTGAAGGGTCCTGTGCTGGTAGAGGTGAAAGAAAGTCACTTGGTCATGAGAGGTCCAAGAAGAGGCAGAGGTGCTTTATTTTCCAGTGGTTTAGCAAGGCGGTGTAAGATGCGGGTGATATTACGCCGGAGCTGCTGTGCGGGAGGCGTTCCCACCCTTCG